TCATCATCATCATAAATTTTATCCCAAGCAGACATTTTCTTACCAGACAGGTTAGGAGGGACAGTCGTCATCAACCTAACAGATCCATATTTCTCCTCATACCTATTGTAAACATCAGTAAGTCGAGCTCTAGTGCCAAGCTGATAAGTAGTATAATCTGTACAAGTAAGATTACCCAACCTCCTAAGCATTCTATTGAAACTTTTTATTTTAGCTCTAGGGTCTAGGATGAATGCAAAAGAATAAAGCAAGGGTATGTCCCCCGGTATTTATTATATTTGTCTATCATAGGTTGAATCACAGGTCTAATGTGACTGTCATTAGCATAATTCTTTAGATATATAGCAATCTTAACAAGATAATGAATCATAAGTGGAGATGTAGGATAGTATACACCAGACAATGCAACTGTAGAATCATAAAACAATTCAAAAAATTTAAGCACTTTTTCTGCCATATCCCAATGTTCATCAGTTAAAAGCAATGGACCACCTTCAATCCTAGAATAATGAGCATACATGAAAGTAGTGAATGGGACCTTACAAGGAAACAAATGTTTAAGTATCAGATATGTAGAATTCCACCTTACCTACATGTCTAGCTGAAATTTTCTAGGCCTAACCCAGTGGTAATGCAGTAACTTTTATATGTAGCAATTCTCTGGTTCGATGAGTTTAAAAATGATATTGCAGTTCTAAATGTTTCAATCAAAGGCTTAAGAGCCTCAAGGGCCTCTTAACAATCAGATTGATAATATGACATGCACAATGCTGATACAAGAACATTGAATTAACTGTAGTAAGGGATGATACATTGTCTGATTGTGATTCAACAGGATATCTACAACCTCAATATCAAGATATTTAGACAGCACAGGTCTAAGTTTACGCATGGCAGAAACATTAGATGATGCATTATCTAAAATAACAGAAAACACCTTTTCAGTCAAACAATAATCAATAAGCATAGATACAACACGGCCAGCAATGTTTTGTCCATTATGGGATACATCAATAAGCACAAGACCAAGCACCCTCTTCTCTAGTTACCAATCAGAGTTTATGTAATGAGCAACAACACTAATGTAGTCTTCTTTGGTATTACCAGACCAAATATCAAAGGTCAAACACACACAATTAACAGCAGAAGAACTAAGATTCTCAACAAGCTTAGCCTTGCGATCAGTGAAAAAATTAACCATGTCTCTAGTGGTGGTTTACTTAGAGACAGGAACATATTTAGGATTATGAGCGGTTCTAATATACTCTTCAAATGCATCAGTTTCACCCATACTGATAGGAACATCTAGCCTAGCAAGCAATTGAACAAGTTCAATACGTGCAACCATAGGACAATACTCCTAATTACGCATACTACCATCAGAATTAAAAGAGATCTAAGACTGAGACATGTGATTTTTTTTCACGCCTCCTGGGGCATTTCTCCCTATGCCGGATGAGGTGACCAGTGCCACCACTAGAGAGAGCAGAATATTGCTTAGAGCAATGGATGCACTTAGCGGCATACCTGACCTTCATACCATTGACTTTTTTTGAAGATCTTCTTAAAATCCAGCCACACTACCGAGGTAGAGGGACGAGAGCGCTTGGCGCTGTTCTCATCCTCTTCACCTTCCTCGTCATTTGCTGCCCTGCCTTCTTGACCATTGCCAACATCAATGGGAGCCTGAGTGCTACGGTCGAACAGCTCCTCGGCGTCCTCGCGTAGGTTGTCCTCATCGTCATCTCCGACCAACCCACACAACCGTCTCTCTTCGTTGGCGCCGACCTCAACCGTTTCGTCGTCGAAGCCGGGCATCGTCACTCGCCGGAGCCCCGGTTCCTCAACAGCTATAGAAAAAGAAGCGTCAGTACAGATCTAGGGTTAGGGTTAGCAAGGATTAGCAAGTTAGGGTTAGGATTAGGTTTAGGGTTAGGGTTACCTTCATAGCCGGAGCACCTGAATCGTCGATGACGTCGACAAAACACAGATCCGACCCCCTAGTTCCTCAACGGATTCGAATCCAGAGCACCAGAGCAGCCGACATCCGGTGAGATCGACAGAGACGAAGAGGAGGACGACAAGGAGAGGACGAGGCTACATCGATGATGCGAGATCAAGAAGAGGGGGGTACTATGCCGTGCCGTGTGCCAGTACCAATCACCGGTGCCTCAAGAGGCCACCGGAGGGGAGAAGAAGAGAGGAGTCGTCACAGTGGAGAAACGAGAGAGCGAGACAGAGAGAGAGAGAGAGCGGGGATGAAAATGAATTTGGGTTAGGGTCCGGGGGCGAGGCGGTATATATATACCTCTCCCTCCAACGGGCAAATCCGACGGGCGGATGGAGCGGGGGAGGAGGGTCCGACGTCTCTGAGGAGAGGAGTTGTGCCGTAGTCGTGCCGGCCTGTTTAGGCGTGCTATGCCTGGGGCGGCACTGCGGGCTGACTTAGCGACCTAGGCACGGCACTATGGCCGGGCCGTGCCAAGCACGGGCACGATGCTAACCGGGCGGGCCGTGCCTAGGCCGTGCTTTTCCGTGCCGTGTCTAGGCCGGCCCATCGTGTTAGTGCCAAATGGCCAACTATACTCCCGTTCTGTCTTTGCAGCACATAAGCCAAACCCAGGCTAAAAGCGGCTGCAGCCCTTTAATCTTGAATTTGTAATAATTTGGTTATTTGCTTATGATTTGTTTCGTTGTCTATATAGACACACACATGTACTGTTCTGTAGCTGGGCGCAGAATAAGTTATTCTGTGGCCACTTTGAGTTACGATAATTACTATACTGATTTACAAGATTATGGTAACTCCCTCATAAGTGATTTACTATAGCATTATGGTAAGTATCATCTTGAATTATAGTAAACCCATGTATCGTAAATATGTATTGTCATTATCGTAAATTGGTACAAACATTATCGTAAATCAAGGTGGCCATAGAATAAGTTATTCTATGACCAGCTGCAGAATAGCCTTACCGTGTGTGTGTGTATATATATATATATATAAGAGAACCCGAACTGTGTGGATTTGATTTTTGGAACATGCTAGAGAACTTGTCGAACAAGAAAGCCAATACGACTCCAAAGGTAATTTAGGAATAAAAAAATGTGGGTTGAAAAAATCGCTTTGATATCAGGTAGAGAAAGAGATTTGAATTCCTATTCATGTTTGTATTAGGATTCCTATACCTATCAAGTTCCTTCAAGAATCCCGACATAGATGTGTTATATCGGTAGTAAGGGGGAGGTGGACGAAAAAATGAATGGACAAAAAAAATAGTTGAAAATTTTGCCTTTTTATTAGTAGGTATAGATTTAGCAAGTGATTTAATAAGAACCGTTGGAGTTGCCTGATTAAAAGGAAAAACAGAGAAGAAAAAACAAACAAAGCTACGTAATAAGAGTGACCGGTTGGCTTTCTATCATGTTACGTCTATTAGTTCACCCAAATGAGACATGAAGTGATTGGTTCACTTCTTGTCATGTTAGCCTATGACTCCGCTCGGACAACACGTAAGAGTGATGGTTGGCTACCTACTTGTTAGGCCTATCAGTCCACTCAGGCAAGACGTGAGAGTGACCAATACAATTAACTATGAGATATAGTGCGCATAAAAAAGTTCATATCATAGTTAACTGTGAGATATACTTTTTTTATAGAGGTAAATCCAATTTTTATAGAAAACACCAAAGTAAACTGTGAGAAATACTGCTTATAGAAAAAAACTATAAAAAAAACTAAGTTTACTTTATCATGCTAAGCCTATTAGTCCACTCAGACAATAATAAGAGTGTGCGTTTCACTACCTAGTTAGGCCTATTAGTCCAATCACAAGAGACCTGAGAGTGATCCAGTTAACTGTGAGCCGCGTAGTGGAACTACAGATCCTGCGTTGGGCCTCCCGTCTTTCCTCCTGGGCTGGGCTTAAATGGGCCACTCGGCTGTCCCACCCGACGGTGGGTTGGGAGCTCTAGCCCGACCATGGGCCACCCGTTGCCATCTCTATAATGCACATCACACCATCTACCGACCACTCGTTTTTCTAAAAAAAATGTCAACCATAAGGTTCACTTGTCATCATGTGACGGCTAGTACTTCACTGGAACATGAAAGTGGTCGGTTGACTTGTTATTGCATGGTGGCCAGTAGTTCATTGGAACATGACGTGAGATTGGACGACTGGCTTGTTATCTTGTGACGGCTAGTAAAATAAAAATAAAAAGGTTTTCAAATTATTCATTACGCTGTTGCTTTGTGCACCTAGATGCGAAAAAATCGTGCTAATTAGAGTTAACACGGACAAAGTAATGCTTAAATAAATCAAATAGAAAAAAAAGTCCATAGGAAAAACAAAAATAAATAAATAAAAATATAGCAGTGAGGGTCGAACCCATGGCCTTGCTCTTTGCGGCTATACTTGAAACATTTACTAACCTATATTAAGGCTGTTTGTTTGAGCGGAAGTTTTAAGATATTTTATATTACAATTGCGTCTGCTCAGAGCCTGATTTATAGGACCGTCGGTTGGTAGCGTTAGAGGAAGTTGAAATTAATAAAAGATTGTGCTCATATGACAATAGAATAGAATTTGAAATATTTTTTTATTTCCATGTGAGTAGTATAGAACTACACGACACAGTAGGATTTTTGAAAAAAAAAATGAAGCTCACATTCACGTGCATGAGAATAGGAGAACACCGGACAACTATTCGCTTGATCGTTTCTGTGGCTTATAAACCGACTGATGCTGTTTTGTTGTGAGAGAAAAATATTGTATCATGGCTGATAAGTATGGCTGATACGATCAAGCGAACAGGGTTTTGGGCCGGCCTAATTTGCAAAGCGGCAGGGAACTTGTTTGCCTGCTAGTGCCAGCTTTGCTCATAGAGGAAGAGGCAATATAGTCCCACCTTGCCAATGCAAATAAGAAGACGGATGCCATACTCTTATATAAGAAGACAAAAGCTGGCATATTCGTCGAACTAAGTAGGAAATAGTCCTACCTCACCTGGACAAACAGAAAGACAAAGGCAGGATGTTATATAACCTACATACGCTTGCCCATCCACCTGCACTGGCACATTATTACCGGAAGAAAAGGCAATGTTGAGGAAAAGCATTTATCTATTTGCTGATGGGTGGTGAAGTGGGGTGCCATGGCGAGGACAACAATTAGACGGCATTAGAGTATTCAGAGTTATCTCATAAGTTGCCTTCCTGTCATAAGTTACCTTCCTCTCCATGACTAATTTGCAACGATTGTGGACCAAACTAAAAGCACCAGACTTACTTGATACGCTGAAATTAAATATTGGAAGTGACAAGAAGGATAGCTACTAGGCATGACTCTTGTAAAAATTTAATTGATACGTAACGAAAAAAAATATGATGTGACCACACACGTAGTTCTAAAATTAAATATCGGAAGTGATAAGAAGGATAGCTACTAGGCATGACTCTTGTAAAAATTGTAAATTTCTTGATTCTTTTGGTCCTGTTCGGCTGCTAGTTTCTGCACTGTTAGACAGCCATCGTACAATATTGTTCTGGCTAGGAGCATGTCCCGTTGAAGAATGATGTTTGGAATCCATTTTGTCAGGTTCCTCCTTGAGTGCACGGTCCATGGATGCACGCTCTTCTCGCATCTTGATGTCCATTTCAGCACGGTGAAGCATGACCACACTATCCATTTCTTCACGCTCATGCTTCATCCTCTGTTCCAGCTCGTAAGGTGTGCAATACAAACTGTAAGGAAACGAGGGTGTTATAGTCCGAAACAAATAAAAGGCAAGAAAAATACATTGACCAAAAGAGATTATAAGTTTACTCGAGATTTGCTGGCCCACAACTGCACTCAACACAGTTACCAGCAGTCAGTGCATAGGTTCCATTTGCCACAAGCATTCCATAGTCCGAAGCAGAGTTAGGAAATGCTGAGGCGCAAGCTAATGAAAGAAACAAATTGTTGTCATTAGAAAGGAAGTACTGATCAGCAGAGAGGACGGCACAATTAGAAAAAGTATCCTTCTCAACTATCATTATTGAACTAATCATTATTCAACCTGATGACACATGGACCAAAGCATTAGTCGTGTTCAGTACAAACAGACAAATTTAGATGGAAATTTGGTGATTTAAACAAAATTATTCAACGTACAAACAGACAATTTTAAGGAATTGCACACGTATCTCTGCTCTCCTAAAATTTAGTGCTTTACCAGCCTTGAGAATGAATGGAACTCCTGTATGACACAGTCATTTGCATGTTAGTACAATGTTCTTTGCAGTTTATCTCTTAGCACAAAATCTTAGACCCCGGCTCTGTTTCATCTATTTCTTCTTTGGGGAAAAAAGTTGGCGAAGAATAGAAAGAAAATGTGGTAAGTTGCAATTGACAAACATAGAGAACCTGCAATGGTTTCATCAGACAATAAGCCTTCACTGGCAAACTCAAGTACTCTTGAAAACTAAAGTCAATGGCAAGCAATCCATGCATAATACATCAGTAGAAAATGGCTTCAGAGATTCACGCAGTGCAGCATTTGTGCTGGTCTGCTGGATGCACAGCACACCATGACTGCACAGATACGGCATTTCATCAAACAGTTAGCATACCCGATCTCCTAAACGTCCTAAACGTTGTAGTACAGCTTGCCAGCCGAGTGACACCGGTGGTCAACCACAGCTTGCCCCTGCTCTCCACCGTCTCTGCAGCGCCGGTTTCTCCACCCACCGCGCGCGCGATGCCAAATTTCTGTGCCCAGACCCCAGATCCGCAGAACCCAACCTAGTGAAGTCACAATCCCACGACGATCCAACACGGACGGAAAATGCAGAGCATATGCATGCAAAACGAAGCACGAAGCACGCACCTGAACTGGACCCTTGAGGAGGCAGACGGCGCAGCGTCGAGGAAGGGGTTGAGGTGCTGCTCCTCGCCATCATCGTTTCCAACGGCGGGGGCTGGAGCACGGCTGCTTCGCCGGCGGTCACGTGCGGAGAACGCGGCAGCCGCCATGATTTTTTTCCCTACTTCATTGACTGTCGCCATGGCTCGCCCTCGCCCTTCGCCCTCGCACGCCGCTGCAACCGCCGCCTCCCTGCCCTCGCCCTCGCCCTCACCCTACCCACGGATGGCGTCAGAGATGAGGATGGCGGTGGACGGCGGCGCGAGGGTGCGGCGGCCGATGCGGCTTGTAACCCTAGAGTCGATGAACTCAGAATGAACCTAGAAGAAAATATTCATCTAACTATATACTACTTGAATTATTCTCCCAACTATATTACTCAACAAAATAGTCATATATACTACTTGAATTATCCACCCCCACTATACTATTTAAAACATTATTTTATAATTATGAATTTATCATTTTACCCTTTATTAAATAAAAGAATATGGAAAAGGAATTACCACTGCTTTATTTGGAGTCCTAATTCCTTCAATTTTGAAGGTGTTGGGAGGCGTTATGATGCATATGGGCCCACCGATCATAGACACATCCAACGTCTCCTGATGCCTCCCTCATAGACGCCTCTCAACGCCTTCGTCCCATATGGGCCCACCAATTATAGACACATGTAACGTTTCCTGACGCTTTTCCAACTATAGTAAGGCTTAGCAAAATTTTCCCAGTACAGTTGTGAAACAGACATTTGTCACAATGAAACATGTGAAGTTGTATACAGGTTGTGGCATTGTATTGCGTATTCTCCACTCGTATGGTGGTGTGTGTGCTTCTTCCGTTGCTCTGAAATATTCTCATCTTACACAAAGACAGTTTTTCATGTGAAAAAAACTCCGTGCCTTTAACTTGTGGCCCATCAGAACAAGGAAGTACATGATGAAATGGAGAGTGCATGCACAGCCCATGACACCTTCGGTTCCTCCATGAGTGGCATCAGTATATGCTAGTGCAGTAGTGCTATTGTTATTCTCCCTGAGTGCGCCCGTACACTAGCTATAGACGAATACTGGGAACAAATAATCAATTAACACGCCAGGTAGATTGTCAAACCAAGCCATTAATAACAGCTCTGAAATATATGCCACAGTTACACCCTATGTACTACTAGGCTTGTTTAGATTGCCTCCAAATTCCAAGTTTTTTCACTCTCTCTTTCATCACATCAATTTTTAGACGCATGCATGGAGCATTAAATGTAGGTAAAAAAATAACTAATTACACAGTTTGGTTGTAAATCACGAGACGGATCTTTTGAGCCTAGTTAGTCCGTGATCGGACAAAGTTTGTCAAATACAAACGAAACGTGCTACAGTGTCCAGGCTGCAAAAATTTACAATCTAAACCAGGCCCTACTTATGAAAACAGGAAACAAATAATCAATTAACACTCCATGTAGATCAAACCAAGCCATTAATAATTTGCTGGCAGCATTAGCATGCTGCTGCATGGATCACAAACAAGCATACATTTTGTCCAGTACTGAAATCAACACTCCCACACCGTGGGCTTTCTTCACTTATGTGGTCTGTGGAGGCATCATACCTAGCCCCCTAGCTTATTTCAGTTTTCAAGTGCACACGCCACTGGTAGAGAACATATCTTCCATTTTTTGCTTTAGTCCCGGCAAGAGTTGGACTCGGGACTAATAGGAGAATTAGTTCTGGTTGGAGCTACCAAATGGGACTGAAATCCCCAACCCAACATCTAGCCCTGCAGATTTTTGCAGGAGGGGACTTTAGTCCCGGTTGATGGCTCCAACCGAGACTAAAGGTCGCCCTTTAGTGCCGGACTGCCGGTTGGAGCCACCAACCGGGACTAAAGGTCACGCTGCCCTTTTATTCTGGCTAGTGGGTCTAACCGGGACTAGAGAATGACCTTTAGTTCCAGACAGCTCTACTAAGTGGAACTAAATGTCCCCACTATATATCCTGCTTCCACGTCCCCCCAGTCAATTATTTGCTCTTGGTTGTGTGTGTTCTTGCTTGGGTGTTCTTGCTCTCGGCCAGCTAACTCTTGAGAAGATCTTCAATCCTCCATCCATTCTACTTTCTAAAGGTTAACAACTTCATCTTCTAATCTTTTATTGTTAATAATGTAGCTCATTTCATGGTTCAGAAATAAATAGAGAAATTTAATGGTGGATTTTATTTATACGTCATTTCTACGTAACCTTAAACATTTGTAATGATTTAGATCTTTGTTTTATTTTTTTGAAACAAACTCGCTAAGTCTCTTTATTCATGCACACTCGGTTCAGTGCCATCGCGAACCACAATTTCAGATACAAAACTAGGGAGGGGATAAGCCAAACATGAGGTTGATCAGGGTCCCAACCAAGATTGAGGTGCAGTTCTTGACGAGAGTTAACAATCATTAAAATAAATTATGTGCTAACAAGTTGGTGCAAAATGGATGCAAAATGTTTAACCTTGACACATTTTATATGTTTCTCTAATATATATATTGCATGTTCCCTAAAAAATATATATATATATTGCATGGTATTTATACGTGGTTCTATATTTATTTGGAAGTTTTTTTAAGTTTTTTATTTCATTGAAGTTTAAGGCACACATATCTACTGAAAGTTTACATGGCTGAACACTACCAGCGTCCACACGCTACTGCTCTTCTAGTATCAATCAGACTTGTGTGTTATTACTGCTTCCCGGGTGACACGGGACTAATACACCGCAATCTCTGATGCTTCCTCTCCTTGAATTTCACCATAGCTGGGCCAGCCATGTTCTTCAGAGAATAACTACTGAATAAACAACTAGCCACAGTCCTCTCTGACTTGTCTTGCATCAAAACTTTGCTAATCAACCTTGGCATCTCCTCTGTATCTCATAATAATTTGCATCGCTGGACACTGTTAAGTCCATGTTTCGCAATCAGCAGCAGCAGCAGCAGCAAGCCTACTTGTTTTAACAACACCACTGACTGTTGCTGCACACTGCACATAGTAGGCCTCTGCTCCTGCACTTCTGCACATTTCAGGATAGCTACTCCATGCATATCTACTGTCAACTAATCACTACTCATGCCATACCGGCTCATTACTGCTTTTCAAACGCCTGAACCATTTTCCTTTACAGACTTTGCTTCCCCATCTCAAACTTCAGCAGGGCTAAACTGATGCACGCACACACTGGCACTGGACATATCTGCTTTGCCAATTTACATTCTTCTCTTTACTGCTTCGTATATTTGCTTCTCTTGGAGATTAAGCTCCCCTTTACTGAATCATCTTGCTAAGTGCCCACATTATGCTACTGCAACTCTCTGCTGCTGCACCCTTGGCCACTTCTCTGTCAGAACACTCACATGCCAACCACTGGATCTCTCCACTTCCTTCGTCAGCGCTCATTCTATCTGCTGTAAACTTCAGGCCTTCACCTACATTGACTACGTCTATCTCTCCTCTCTGATGTAGGTACCGTTTAGTTCCACTCCAAAATACCAAAATTTTCAAGATTCTCCGTCACATCGAATCTTTGGACGCATGCATGAAGCATTAAATATAAATAAAAAATAAAACTAATTACACAGTTTAGACGAAATCTACGAGACGAATCTTTTAAGCCTAATTAGACTATGATTGGACACTAATTGCCAAATAACAACGAAAACTGCTACAGTGTCATTTTGCAAAAAATTTCGCCATCTAAACTGGCCCGTAGTACGACACCTCTGCCCTCTCATAAAAATTCAGACTCTGCTTTCTCCTCCCCACACACAAGCCTGTCTGCTTTAATTATCTGCTGCATTCTTCAGTCTTTCTCGCATACTAATCTCTATATATCTCTCATCTCTAACTGCAGCTCGACACTTGTACTTGCCATCAAAGTTCAGACTCCCTTTCTCCTTGCTGAATCTAATTCTACTAAGGAATGAAATCTCCACTACTCTTGACACTTGTTTGGGCTCGCAATCTCCTCACTCATGATATTGCTGTCTAAACTATATATATATGCCTGCTGCATTGCACGCGCTCCTTCAATCAGACCCTCTGAACATCAACATCAATTGCACTCTACCACTGCCTTGCCTTGATTTGCCCTTTCCTGAACTGATACTTCTTAATTTGACTTGGCTTCTCAACTCAGACTAACGCCTCTACAGGAACCCCTTCTTCACCTCTATCGAACTCCACTAGTACACCAACTAATCTGCACTGCACACATACTCGATCTTCAGCCTGCTTCCAGCCTCCTCCGCATCTAAATCGACACTACAACTTGCTTTCCCCTCCCCCATACCTGCATGCATGCACCTATCACAGCCAGCTCTTCCTCTACGGCTGCAAGAACTACGCCATGGTGAGACCTTCAGTCGCCCAAGTCGCCCCTGGCCCTCACTCTCTCTGCTCATCTCCACATCGGATCGACGTGCAGCAAGACACCTAGCAAAATAAAAGATCCCACAGATGGGTAGTCTCACCCTTCGATGCAGCCAGGCCATGATGGTTGATCTCCGGCGGCGAGCGACGTTAACCCTCCTAGCTCGGTGCATGCGGAACTGTGTCCGGCGGCGGCGGCGGCGTGCTGCTGTAGTGTGCGCGATAATCGCGATTTGTGAAAGCAGTGTGGCGGCGAGAGATGCGACATGCGACCTGGCGGCGGTGGTGTTCTGATGGATCTCATCTCCCCCGCCATGAGAGATTACTCTGCCTTTATACTTATACCGGACCGGAGGAGGCCGGGCCTCAGGTTGAGTGGTGGACGAGCGCGCGCCGGGCGTGAAAACGTGTGTGCCGAGTCAAAGGCGAGTGCCGCTGCGGCGGCCCTGCGCTATCGTAGGAGGCTCGTCGTGGCCGAGACTTAACCCAATTTTACGAGCCCAATATCTTGCATTTAACCCAATTTTACGAGTCCAATAAACAACTGTACCATCAAAGTGCTACAAGCATGGATCACACAATTATTGTAATTTTTAATTTATACAAACAGCCCCTGATAAAGTGCCACGTACACGCGTATATGACTAGTATATCACATACTTGTACGCAAGCAAATTACCTCATGCGTGCCCGTGTACTCGCTCTATCCCTAAATAACTACCGTTTTCGCTTTCCGATAAG